GTACTTGTCAAATCTGTCTTCAAACTTTACATCTGACTTCTTCCATTTCACCTGGATAGGAGAGGTTCATTGGCATTTATGCATGTGTTTACATGTCCTACGTATCCCCAAGAGAGTATAAGTCAAATATGGCAGATATACAATGATTTTTAGCTTCCCAGAATGTTAATCAAAAAGTACTCACAGAATAGGACATTGCGATTCTTGTGTTTGGCACAAGTCTGACTTTGCCTTCGCTGGTCAGATTTACGTCAACGATTCTATTGCCATTGAAGCCGATCTCTAGTTTCTTATACGTCCACAGGTAGTGCTCTTCTCCATTTTCATCTGCCTCACCAACAATACCTTAAAAAAAAAAAAACAACGAAAAAAAAACTCGAGATCTCATTCAGCAGTGGTCCAATGGACAGGTGAAAATAAACGCAGCAAACCTTTAGTTATACAACATTAACAATCAGGGTGTAAATGCCAAATAAAGGCAAGGTTTGATAACTTTGTAACAGCATAATCTCTACTCGCTTGTTACAGTCAGGATTTAGTTTTCATAAAAGGTCATTGCTGAGCAAAAGGAGTCTGATGCAAAGCAAGAACTATGAATCAGCAGCCTGTTACTCCACTACATGGGGACATGACTAATGGTAACATAAAAATCTAATGTTGTGGCTACATGTATTTTAACTATATAAATATGTATATATTTTTTTTCCGTTTGTTTAATGTTTAATGCCTGAAAAATTGTTCCACATTCTGCACCAAAAATTAATGTAGACAGGAATTTTTGTTCTAGTATACATAATATTATGCAGGCGAGCTCACTTTAGTAAGCGGTACTACAAGTGAGCAAGTTCTGAAAGTGATGAACGACAGGTCTGCAATTGCTGAGCTAAATAACCCTGATAAACATCTCATAAAAGAAAGGCACACCAGTGCACTTCTCACACAATAGCAACCCGGATGTTAGACTTATAGATATTCATGACGCTCCTAATTATGCGACACATAACTCAGCAACGTTTGAGCAAATACCAGCGCCCCTCCCACTTCCTTCTACATCAGCTTGCATAGTCTGTTTAAACAGGGTAGGAGTGGCACCATTGTACTACTCCAACATATGTGAGTGTTCACACTGACTGCTTGTTAGAGTGACAGTCTTGACTCAGTAACAGTAGTGAGTCATTAATATCCTTCTTTTGGTTTATATGAAACACTTTTGCACATGGGAAATGAATACTAAAACCTGCAGGAGAATTTTTATGAGCTCTGTATCCAAATATTCAACTATTTTAATATTCATTAGGTTGTTATTCAGCAATCAAATTGGAAATATAAACAATTTGTTGCCAATTTAACAACTCTGTTTTATTTTTAAGCTTCTTTGCAAAAGAAATAAAATAGAAGATAGACTGTATCCTACACATCTTAACAATGTCTTGCTTGTTTTGACACAGGAACAGCACTAACTCTTTCTGACGTGTTCAGTGGGTGTGTGGACGGAGAGGTTTCAAAAAGTGAGACAGCAACGGGGCACAGCGTGAGAGAAAAGTTAAACCTGCTGTTGCTTCCAACTTTCTCTCCGAGTTATCATTTTATAAACAGATAAAGATGAAAAAACACCACAGCCATTGTCTTTAACACATGGGCTGAAGAGCTCACCTTGGGAAGTGTTTATTATTCTGGACAGCCCTAACACTCAGTACATCCAGTGTCTTTATTCATTTTATGTCAAAATGGTTCCACTCATTAGTATATTTTTCAGTCAGCATAATACCATAAAATTATTCTAAAACGTAAAGCTGTACATAAGCTAATCAACCGGTACACTGCACTAATTAAGCTGATTCAAAACAAAAACAATATAATACAACATAGACTAAATCTTGAGTGCCTTTTATTCTGACATTTGACACATGACATTGTGTCCGGTTACACCTCCCTACAACACCGGTAAAGAATAAATGGACCAGTCATCTCAAGAATAAGAACTGGTTTTACTTCTTCACCATCAGGATGAAAATGTCGGTCACTCTACTCTAAAGATTAGCACTTTAACACAGCTCTTGGATGCCACATCACCACTAATAGCCAGTAAGAGGGGATGCGTGAAATTCTAAGATGAGAGAGATGTTAAAAATAAATTTGGCTATGTTTTTTTTTTTTTTT